GGGGGGGAGGGAGGGTGCGGGGCGGGGGGACCACGTGTGTAAAAGACCCTTTAAGCTCCAGCTCCAAAAACATGGACCCAACCTCAGCTTTGTGCTATAGCCAGACCTAGCCCATTTCTCCATCAGCCCAGGTAAGGTCTTCCTCTTGCTTATTGTCTCTGAAGTACCAGTTCCTCATCAGTTGTCCTGTCCTCTCCAACATGCTCACCTTCCTGCAGTCAGATCACAGAGCAGGCACTGCCTGTGATCACTTGTCTATTTGCTCCATGAAGATCTGTCTTCTGGGAAGAAAGTTCCTCATTGTCTATCAGACGGAGAGAAACCATACTAAGGAATGGCCATAACCACCGGACACTGTGCCCCTGACTACGGCTACAATATATGGTACCTCACTTTCCAGTTGGGCACTTATTTTTCAAGCTTTGACTTCAGGGATCTCTGACATAGGTGGACAGTATCCTACCTACCCTCCTTTCTAGATGCTCACACCTTCCCTGGGCTGGTACTGCTCCCTGAATCCCTCCCAGCCTCCCCTCATGCTGAAGTGATAGCTATCTGGAAGACAGCCTCCTGGTTCTGGTTCTCAAACTTGATGTTATCTGCTAGAACCTATAGTTCTTTCCCTGTGGGTGTTTCAGGCTCATGCAGAAATGGCCTTTGGGCAACTGTCAGGACCCAGGTTCCTGGCCTGACCTCTGAGGACAGTCTATCAGGGGTTTGGATACAAGATGAGAAATGATAATATGAAACACTAGGACTGGCAGGGAGGTGGGTGCTAGCAAGCTCAGACCCTCCTGTCTCCTCTGAGCAAGACTGACCTCCTCTAGAAGCACAGGTATCTACTGACTTGTTGCTGTTAATCTCTTAAATCCTCTAGCTCCTAACCACATGGCATGGAACATGCCCCCATCTCCTTTGTTGGATTAACCTTTCGTAGCTCAAATATATGAGTAGATGTTGTTTATGAAAAAGACAATACTTGGCTAGGCACTATACACTCAGGAGGTAGAGGCAAGATGATCAGGAGTTCAAAGACTGGCTTTGCTACATAGTGAGTGTAAGGTCAGCCTGGGCTACATTATACCTCCCCCCCCCACAAAAAAAGACAGAAAGGAGGAAGGATAAAAGGAAGGAAGGGAAGAAAAAACAAAGCAAGAGGTTAGATAGATGACTCAGAGGTTAATAGCACTGGCTAATCCCCTAGAGGACCCAGGTTTGATTGTCAGCACCACTCACAAACCTCTGCAACCCCACTCTCAGGGGATCTGACTACTCTCTTTTGATCTCTATGGACACCAGGAACAAATGTGGTGTACAGATGTACATGCAGGAAAAAATATGCATCCATACATATAAAATTAAAAAAAGCATGAAGTCCCCTTTGAGGCCTGCCCCTCTCTGCCTTTCTCTCTTTCCTTCCCAAATTCTTCTGAAGACAATGACTAGCCTTGACTTGCCCACTTTGGGGGTTTCTTTCTGCCCTCTCTGCTGCCTCTTGGGTTCCAAGCTACTTGCAAATAAATCTGAATTATAGAAAATTTAAATCAAAACAGCATTCTCTGTGCTTGTTGTAGGAGGACAAAACTTACCATGGAACTTTTGACCATTTCTACCCTATATTCTTAATTCTATGCCAATTCATTTTTTTTTCTAAGACAGGGTTTCTCTGTGTAGTCCTGACTGTCCTGGGACTCACTCTGTAGACTAGGCTGGCCTTGAACCCATAGGTCCACCTGCCTCTGCCTCTCTAATGCTGTGGTTAAAGGCATGTGCCACCACAGCCTAGCCCAACGCAATTTTTAAAAATTATTGGGTAAAACTTGACCAAAAGTTTCTGGTGTATCTAAATGCTTGTCCAAGTTCCTCTTGTCTGTCCCCTCAAAAGGTGCTAGTAGGTAATCAGACATGGAAACAGTCTTCTTCCTCCTCCTCCTTTTCCTCCCCCTCCTCCTTCCCCTCCTCCCCCTTGTCTTCCTCCCACTCCTCTTCCTCTTTTGTCTATCTAGAGACCTAGGTCTGAGTCTTAGAGCCTAGCAGGCTTTGGGAATTGCTAGAATGGAAGGAACAACAGTGAACATCTAAAATTGCATTTCAATGAATGTTGCTAATGTCATCCCAGTAAGTTTAGATGTAGCCTTGTCCCTGTGGTATGGAGTAACTGTACTGGGCTTGCAGGATTCTTGGACTTTATCAAGACAGTAGTCTCCAAGGAGCTGGTTCACAAGTGACCCACAACAGTAAGATTATTTTCATTTTATAAGTAAGTGTCTCTCTAGGTGGTGGCGCATGCCTTTAATCCTAGCACTCCAGAGGCAGAGGCAGGCAGATCTCTGTGAGTTCAAGGTCATCCTGGTCTACAGAGCTACAGCCAGAGCTACACAGGAAAACACAAAACACTGTCTCACCCCCCCCAAGAAAAGACCCACCTCTCTCTCTCTCTCTCTCTCTCTCTCTCTCTCTCTCACACACACACACACACACACACACACACAGTGAGCATCTCTTTTTTTTTCCATCTGGGGTCTGGGTCATAGCATTAGGCTTTCCTCCCATTCTGGTTGGGTAGCAGGGACACTAGACAGTGGGCACTTGATCTGGAAGGAAGCAATGGATTTGTAGGGCTGAATAGACATCTCCTTTGTCTTTTTCCTTGGTGGAACCTTGGCTCTAAGGTTACTGAAAGGGCAGTGAGTGGATATCTGGAGAGAACAAAAATTCACCTCAGAGTGGTAAATGTGGAGGTAGTGTCTGTCTGAGAAGCAAGTTTACAGCTATGTTTACAAGCCAGAGACAGAAGCCCTACAGGTGGAAGCCTCAGCCATTAGGGAGTTGAGGAGCAGGAGGATCACTTGAACCAGAGAGTTCAAGGTCATTTTGAGCAATATAGCAAGTCTTTGAAGAAGGGAAACAGGAAAAGGGAGGGAGGGAGGGAGGGAAGAATGAAAGGGAGAGCTACAGGGAGAGTTCCCTACATTTGTACTTGTCCTGGTCATGAGAATGGTAGCAGAGACAGGCAGATTTCTGTCAGTTTCAGGCTAGCCTGATATACATAGGGAATCCCAGGTAAGTCAAGACTACATAGAGACCCTGTGTTAAACAACAAACAAAAAACCAAAGATATAATGTTACAAATAATCACAGAAAGATACATCAGAGAAAGAAACAGTTTGAATACCTGTAACCAGAGATACAGAAAGACTCAAAGCTGGGTGTAGTGGCTTTCATTTGTAATTTTTATTTTTTTGATTTTTTGAGACAGGGTTTCTCTGTGTAGCTTTGTAGACCAGGCTGGCCTCCAACTCATAGAGATCCACCTGCTGTTGCCTCCTGAGTGCTGGGATTAAAAGTGTGCACCACCACCCAGTCCATTTGTAATCTTAACACAGGAAGCTGAAGCAGGAAGATTATTGGGAGTTGAATGCTGGCCTGGCCTGGAATAAAACCCTGTTTTAAAAAAAAAGAAAAACAAAACAAACAAAAATCCAGAAGGAAAAGGACACAAGAATAGTGATTAAGTAAAAAAGACAGAGGACAGAGACCCTGACAGAAGTGTTATAGTCTGTTCAGACTAATCAGAAAAAAATACCTTTAGACTGGGTGTTTGTTCTAAAAAGTAGAAATTTATTTCTCTATAGATTAGAAGCTCAAAGTCAAGGCACCACTAGGTTTGCTGGTCTAGTGAGGGTTGCTTCTTCATTCGTAGCTGTGTCCTTGTGACCTCACTTGTTGGAAGAACTGAAAGGTTACTAAGTATCCAATTCAGTAAGGTCATTAACCTCACTCAGGAGTCTGCACAAAACAAAACACAAGACTGTTTGATTTTCTTATTTCAGACAAGGTTTTCCTTCAGTTTATACGTTTATGACCTGCTCACCTCCTAACATGGGAAGGGAACATTCAGACCACAGCAGGAATAGAGAAACATACAAAAAGTAAAAGAGACCAAGACAGGTCATGCACAGTAGTGCACATCTGTAATCCTATTTTTTGGGAACATGAGTTAAAAAACCAGCCTGGTGGTCTGGAGCCATCTCTCCAGACCACCAGGCTGGTTAAGAGCACTGGCCGCTGTTCCAGAGGTTTTGAGTTCAATTCCCAGCAACCACAACTATCTGTAAGGAGATCTTCTGCCCTCTTCTGGCCTGCAGGAGTACAGACAGGCAGAACAATGTATACATAATAAATAAATCTTAAAAAAACAAACCAAAACAAAACCAACAACAAAATCCCCCCAAACCAGCCTGGTGTACACAATGAGTTCCAGGCCAGCATGGGCTATATATAACAAGACTGTCTCAAAACAAACAGGCATGGTGGTGCACGCCTATACTTCTAGCCTTTGGGAGGTGGAGGCAAAAGGATAAGGAGTTCAAGGTCATTCTTGGCTACATGGTGAGTTTAAGACCAGTCTGGACTACATGAGACCCTGTCTCAAAACAAAACAAAACAAAACAAAAGCAAATATGCACATAGATAAAGAGCAATGTAGAAAAGGAAGACATAGAAACATCAGGGCGGTCACAATATCTGCTCACCTTGACTTCATATCCACAGCCTACAAGGAGAAGATGAAGGAGTTATCTGTGCTGTCACTCATCTGCTCCTGCTTCTACTCACAGCCTCACCCCAACACCATCTACCAGTATGGGGGTGAGTGTATCCACGCAGCTGCTAGCCTTGCTTAGCTAGGGTATGACCACCTTACTTCTCTTGTTTCTCCTGACCTCTGGTAATGCTGTGGCCTGGCTGGCTGCTGCAGAGAGTCATTCTGGGAGGAGGGACCCATGCCCAAGAGTACTACCTGAGCAACATCACCCTTTTCTTAACCCTTGGTGGGGTGTGTGATGAATAAAGCCTCTCATACTGCCTGTATCCTCCAGCTGGGCCTCATTAAGTCCCCTTCTGTCTTGTCCTGCAGACATGGAAGTGAAACAGCTGGACAAGCGAGCCTCTGGCCAGAGCTTTGAGGTCATCCTCAAGTCTCCTTCTGACCTATCTCCAGAGAGCCCTGTGCTCTCCTCTCCCCCCAAGAGGAAGGATGCTTCCTTGGAGGAGCTGCAGAAGCGGCTGGAGGCAGCCGAGGAGCGGAGGAAGGCAAGCACTCTCCACATACACTTGACATCTCTGACCAGGCCCTTGGCTTGATCAGGACATTGGGCTGGGGGGTGCAGGACTTGCTGCTGAACAATTGGGATGATATGAGAGAAGGATGGTGTGGAGATGGTGACAAACATGGTGCAACAGGAACCACATTCTTGAGGTGGACCTCACTTTGATCATGGCAGAGGAAGGGCAGGTTGTGTTCCCCCAGGAGGAGCCTTGGGGACACAGCACCCCTTTCAAGGCAGAAGAGTGAGAAGAAAAAGTCTTGCATCTGAAGATCCTTAGTTGGGTTGGTTAGGTAGTTCAGTGGGGCCCTGGGAGACAGAAATGGGGCTTCCAGCCCCTCTCACACCAGCCCCTTTGAAACTAAAACACAGAGAACAAGATTTGTTCTAGGATTGAGACCCAAAAGGCAATATCCACTGGATAGGGAAAATTACTTAATCCATGGACAGTAGGACACAGTAGGACTCAGGCTCAGCAAGTTTATTTTGAAACTGATGTACCCATGGGTGCCTGGCATCATTCAGGAGGCAGCCTAGGCCAGAAGCTAATCCCCCAGGGATCCTGGCTCTCCTCATTATCCATTATCCCAGCAGTCACCAGACACACCTTTCCCCAGCAGGGTAGGGCAGTGTAGCACCACAATGTCCCTTCCCAGTTCCCTGTGGACACATCCTTTTGTTGAGCAATAGTGGGGAGCTAGGACTTAGTTGACCTAGCTGCATCTATTCCTGCTCAGTGCTCAACAGGCAGTTGTCTGGAGAAGCCACCATAACTCAGGGTTCAGAATTCTTCAACATTTCTGGGCTTGGGAGTTCTCATTCTAACAAGGAGACTGTGGCTGAGGGTAGCACAAAGCAAACCACTGAGGTCCACCTGGCACTGGAAGGGCCTCCTGGCAAGCAGAATATTCAGTGCAAAAGCCTCAGAAGGCAAACTGGGATGAAATGCAGGATGGTGTAAGGCCCTTAAGCTCATAGAAATTAGTCCCAGGGACCCCGGGAAGAGTGATGGGTATCAGGTGGCACTAGGACAGCAGGACAGCGAGTCATGGCCAAGTGTCATTAAGTTGGGAGCAGAGGAGGGGCAGAACTGACTCCCTCCCATCCTGCTTGGCTCCCAGACCAGCTCTGGGTACATATCCTTGCAGTTGAGGCTCGTAGGGTTTGTCTCAGCGGTTGGGCACCAGAGAGTGAAGGCCTGGTTCAGGAGGGGTCCCAATGGCTGCTTACTAACTCCTGGCTCTGCGCAGACCCAGGAGGCTCAGGTGCTGAAGCAGCTGGCAGAGCGGCGTGAGCACGAGCGCGAGGTGCTGCACAAGGCGCTGGAAGAAAACAATAACTTTAGCCGCCTGGCGGAGGAGAAGCTCAACTACAAGATGGAGCTGAGCAAGGAGATCCGCGAGGCGCACCTGGCAGCTCTGCGCGAGCGGCTGCGCGAAAAGGTGGGCACGGGGTTGGGGACGTTGATGTGGGGGGTGTGATCACTGCTGGGTGTGGGATCCGGCTGTTCACTGAGTGAAGAAGGGGATCCTAATAATGTCTTTCTAGATTTTTTTAGGGGGGGTGGATTTGAGCTCTTCCCTCAACGTTGGAATCAGGCCTAGAACCTGGTCCTAATCAGACACATTTAACAACCACAGTAATATATAGTTAAATTAATTATGAAGCACTCTAAAGGAATTCGCATCCTCACGGGGCGCAGCTCCAAGAGGGGATGGAGCTTGTTTACACTGGGGGTCAGATGGCCAGGCCCTTGATCTAATCCCTAAGCACTGTGGCTCTAGCGCTAAATTCCTAGGGACACCCTTACCCTTGGCGGCTCCTCAGGGCTTCTCCGCCTGTCTTCGCAGGAGCTGCACGCTGCTGAGGTGCGCAGGAACAAGGAGCAGCGGGAGGAGATGTCTGGCTAAGGGGCGTTGGATCCAGCGGCAACGAGAACACTTTCGGGTTTTGTTTTTGTTTTGTTCAGTTCTGTCTAGATGCAAATTTCGTTCCTGCTCCTACCCGCTCCCCTGCACCCCTAGCTTCCTGCTTCTCTTCCCACACTCTGAACTGTCCAGTCCTTATAAAATGTCTGACTCTGAGCTCTCCCTAAAGGAGTTCCCTAGTTCAGACACCAGGCCAGGTGCGGCTGGGGCTCTCTTGGTAGCCCTCTTAGTGGATGTGTTGGCAACCTTAATAAATCTAGTGGCAGTGGCACAAACGTGTGGATTCTTTTTTTTTTTTTTTCTTTCTTGTTTAAAATTTATTTATTATGTATGCAGTGGTCTGCCTGCATGTATTCCTGCAGGCCAGAAGAGGGCACCATACTTCATTACAGATGGTTGTGAGCCACCATGTGGTTGCTGGGTATTGAACTCAGGACCTCTGGAAAAACAGGCAGTACTGTTAACTGCTGAGCCATCTCTCTAGCCCCAAATGTGTGGATTCTCATTGAGGTTATCAGACTGTGTTTTCAGACTTCTGCAAGACCAGTCAGCAGCATCTGCCTGTAATTTTATGGGAAACATTGTGGAGAGACTTTATAGAGGGCAGAGAAAGACTGAGCACCCCTGAGTCCTACTCTGTCATTATGGCCAGCCCTGGAGCCTGTGTGCTGCAGAGCATACTAGAGCTAGAGAGTGAAAGTTACAACATTCTAATGTGGTTTCACAGGAGTCCTGAGTTTGGCACCTTAGAATCATTTCACAAGGGCTGTGGTAGAGTATTATCTCTCTTGAGTTGGTTTGGGGTAGGTATTCTCCACCAAGAGCCCAGGAGCTTCTGTGGTTTGAAGAGTTATGGGCAGCAAGGACATCTACTGTTCCGACTGTCTCAGAGATTCATACTCTTTGCAACGCCTTAGCTGAGGCATTCTGTGGAGCCAGTCTCCATGCCCATGCCCCCTCTGGGGTTTTATAGCCCCTTGGAACCCTGTCCTGTGCTCTGATTCAAGAATGCTTCTGGACAATGGAATTTTACCTCACTTGCTGGCAGGCATGGCCAGGTGTGAGAAAGTAGCAGCCCGTGAATTCTTGGGGGTGGGAGGTTCCTTAGGACCAGCTGCCTGCAGATTCAGATGCTGAGAGGGTCAGAATTCCTGTCACTCTTCCCATATCCGTCCTTGGAATTCCTTACCAATGGAGGCACCTGGCTCTAGGCCTCTCCTGCTTATGCATCTAAGCAGTATCCTTTCCTCTCTCTCTCAGCCCAGGGCTCCAAACATCCCAATGGTGGCCTTTGAAGATGGTCACCTGCTTGGACATAGGGGATCCCATGCTTTTGTGGCAGTGCAACATCTCTCTTCTGCACACAGCTCCATTCCACCATTGAGTTCCAGAAATGGGGTGCCTTCTGTCCTGCCTGGTATGAAGTGTAGGGTGGCTGTGGCCCTGGGTGCTTTCACCTTCCATCAGGCAGAGGGCACTGGGAAGAATCTTCCAAAGCCTATCCAGAAAACACAGTTGTCACTGAACATTTCAGTGGCTCAGGGGAAATAGGACAATCACAAGAGGAAACAACAGTCAGAACCTGGACTCCACAGTACCCACAAGTGGCTTTTGTGGGACTCAGAAGGGGAAAAAGAAAAGGAACTGAGACTAGATTTTTTCTTTTTTCTGTTTTTCGAGACAGGGTTTCTCTGTGTAGCTTTGGAGCCTATCCTGGCACTCTCTCTGGAGACCAGGCTGGCCTCGAACTCACAGAGATCCACCTGCCTCTGCCTCCCAAGTGCTGGGATTAAAGGTGTGCGCCACCAACACCCGGCGAGACTAGATTTTTTTCTAATGGCAGCTCTTAAGTAGCCAATGCGCATTGTAACATGCACCCATCTCACCCACATAGTGAACTTACAAATTAATAAGAAAAAGACCCTGAGTTGGGCAGTGGTGACGCACACCTTTAGTTCCAGCACTCAGGAAGCAGAGGCAGGCAGATCACTTTGAGTTTGAGGCCAGCCTGGTGGTCTACAGAGAGAGTTCCAGGGCAGCCAGGGCTACACAGAGAAATCCTGTCTCAATAACAAACAAACAAACAAAAAACAATAACAACAACAACAACAAAACAGAAAGAAAAAGAGAAAGGAAGGAAGAAAAGAGAGAAAGAAAAAGACCCTGAACCAACAAGATGGTTCAGCAAGTACAGGGACTTCCAAACTTGATGACCTGAGTCCAATCTCCAGGACTAACACTGTAGAAGAGAACCAATTCATATACTGTGCCCCTTTGACCTCCATAAGCATGTCATGACATGCACATTCACAATATATACACACAAAAAAATAAACAAATGTAATTTTTAAAGAAGATATTCTGTGTGTTTAGAAATAGCTGTGTTATATAGTATTGTGTCTATCATCTGCTGAGCCAAGAAACCCTGTGAGGGATTACATTGGATACAACTCCAGACTGACACCAGCTGTCAATCATATTTTTTTAAAGATTTTATTTATTATGTATACAACCTTCTGCTTCCATGTATATCTGCACACCAGAAGAGGGCAGCAGATCTCATTACAGATGGTTGTGAGCCACCATGTGGTTGATGGGAATTGAACTCAGGACCTCTGGAAGAGCAGTCGGTGCTCTTAACCTCTGAGCCATCCCTCCAGCCCTCAATCCTATTTTTAAATCATGATTATTTTGAGAAGTGAGTATGTTAACACAATGCCACAGGAACAAGATAGAGTCTGAGCTGAGCCTAGCCTGTTTGCTACAGGGGCCACCCCTGATCTCCCCAAAAGGAACCTCTCTAAGTGGTATCCTATTAGATTGCGGCTTTCCAGCTGGTCAGTTGTTGTTGATAGAATCTTGTCTAAACTCTGAATCCAATTCTGTCTTGAGGCTCAGGATTTAAGGGATTCCTGAAGTGGTACTGCCTGGCAGGGACTTGCCCCCATAGCTCTGTGGACTTGTTCCTGGTCACAACTAGACATCTGGTTCCAGGGAATGAGGAAATACCCTGACTGACCTTGTAGATATATCTGTCTCCTTAGGACCCAAACAGCCGCTGGGGATGCCAAGTAGGAATCATGTGCTAAAGAGGACACAGGCCTCTGCTCAGGTTTATGTGTGGACCTCCAGCCTAGTCCTTGGAAGGATGCCTGCTTTCCTCAACACAGGGAGAAGCATGAAAGTAACATCTTCTATGCTCTGGGAGGATGGGTCAGTCAGACGTAAGACACTGGAGGAAACAGAAACATGGGTATTATGCAGGAGAGGATGAGAGGAAAGGGATGCACTGGAACGTCATATAAAGATGGATCTGCCTGCATAGGTTCTAGGTATCAGTGCTGTACATCCCACAAAAGCATACCTAGTTCTGGCACAGCAGATCTGATCATAGGTCAGACCTTCTTAGTTATCATGTTAGGGAGTTGAGGGAATTTGGTAAGGTGTCAAGGGTAAGATTGTATTTGTGACAGTCACTATGTGGAGTCTCCAACAACAAACGGGGATGGGAATCCTTCAGACTGATTCCATTTTTCTTAGCAAAGAACATAAATAAAAGTGAGATCCCTATGGGAAGCTGGTTTGATGGGGGATGTCCTCATGTATATTTGATTCTCTTACTGGTTGATGAATAAAACACTGTTTGGCCAACAGAGGCAGGAAGATACGTGGGACTAAGAGACAGGGAGAATTCAGGGAAAGGTAGCCAGAAAGAGATGCAAAGAGACTCCATGTAGCCGCCAAAGGAGAAACAGGTCCGGGCATTCTCCGGTAAGCCAAGACCATGTAAAAATATATAGATTAGTAGTTATGGGTTAATAATTAAGACAGAGTTATCCAATAAAAAACCCTAGCCATTGGCCAACATTTTATAATTAATACGTCTCTGTGTGCTTATTTGGGACTGAGAAGGGCATTGGGACCCGGCGGGACAAGAAACCTCTTCAACATTGGTCAGGGTGCATGCATCACCTATCGCTGCATAACTTATCTCGCCAAGGAGCAACTAAAAACACCATTGTTGTCTTAAGTTTCCATAAGTACAGACGCAGTTGCTGAGCATCTATGAATTAGGCTACAGACAGAATCAACAGTCTCTGACCATCCTGAGGCTGCCCTGGTGCTAAGGGTCCCTTCCAAGAAGGACTACTTCACTTGTGCTAGCAGGACATGGGCCAACATTGAGTGCTTGACGCTAGAGAAAGTGATGGGAAAGAATATGCCTGAGCTTATTTCAGGGGTCACTCACTTCTGTTTTCCAGTACTGATTCAATAAGACTAGGCCGCACTCAAGAGAGTGTTAAAGATTTTTGTGGTCCTATTTTATTTTATTGTTTCTTAGACAAAGTTTCACTATATAGCTCTTCCAGACCTGGAACTCAGATCAGGCTGGTCTTCAACTCACAGAGATGCACCTGCTTCTGTCTCCCAGTTGCTGGGATTAAAGGCATGTGCTACTATCCCCAGATTTGTGGGTATATTTTAAAGACACTTCAAAACTGGGTGGCTGGGTGTGGTGGTGTACACCTTTAATCCCAGTACTCAGAAGGCAGAGGTAGATGGATCTCTGTGAGTTTGAGGGAAGTCTGGTCTATATAGCAAGTTCCAGGACAGCCAGAGCTATGTAATAGAGAGATCTTGCCTCAAAATGAAAGCTACTTCAAATGCTGTGATTGGAGTCACTACAGAAGTCTGCATGTATACCCCAACCTCTGTGCTGGAAACTTAATCCCAGGACAACAGTGTAGAAGGTTGGGCCTTTTGGAGAGCATTTATTTGACTCCTGGAGATTCTGTTCTTACCTGTTGATTAATGCTACTGTGAACAGGGCTTGCATCTCTCCTGTTCTTCTACAACAAAAGAGTACAATCTCAGGGCTGGAGAGATGGCACGGCATTTAAGAGCATTTGTTATTGCAGAGGACCCAGGTCTGACTCTCAGCACCCACATGGTGGCTTACAACCATCTATAACTCTAGTTTCTGGGGATCCAATGCCCTCTTCTGACTTCCATAGGCACAATGCACACACATGTTCCATATATATACATGCAGGCGAAATACTTCCATACACAAAATAAAATAGAATAAATCTGAAAAAAATACAGTCTTAGAGAATGCAGCTGTTATCTTGGCCATGTATTTCTCTACTTTTAGAACTGTAAGGGGGAAAAAACCAGGACAGATTGTTAGAGGACAACTTGAGGTGTTGTGGGGTATAAGTCACTGGAGAAGACTTATTGGACATAGGTTGAAAACTTTATTGAAAGTATTAGCTGGCCGTCGACTACACTGGATGTTTGGGATCCCAGTATAGCCCCACGCCTATCTCAGGGTGAGCTTTCAAGCACCAAAACCATATTTTGGGTTGACATAATTAACAAGAACAGTTAGCCAGAAGCAGAACTACAAAAGCCTAAAAGCAAGGTTAGTACATTTAGAAACTTTCCCAGAACTATGGATTTTGATGGATTAGGTTTTTGTTTTTGTTTTAGCAGGTGGTGCCTCCTATGTTCTGAGTCTTATAGCCTGGATGGGGCTTCCATTATGGAGTCCATCATGCTAAGGTCTGGGCTGTTACAGAGGGAATCAGTTCTCTCCTTCCGCCATGTGGGTCCCATGGACATTCAGGACATCTTTTTGTTTGTTATGTTTTTTTGAGATGGGTTCTCACTATGTAGTCCAGGCAGGCCGGATCTTCCTTGCCTTTGTCTCCTGGGTGTTGAGATTTTAGGCATGTGCCCACTATTGGCTTGAAAATGCATTTAATGTGCCCAAATTATGGATGACACAGCTTATCCCAACTGTGTGGGTTAATTCTGGTTGTCATCAGGAACTAGAATTGCCTAGAAGATGAGGTTTCTAGATTGAGTTAATTGAATTGCGAAGTCCCACCCCCCCAAATGTGAGCAGCACCTTTTTATGAGTTGGGGTCCTGGACTGAATTAAAAGGAGAAAGCAAACTGAACATCAGAATCCATCATTCTCTACTCCTGACTGTGGATGCTTAGCATGCATGAGGCCTTGGGTTTAATCCCCAGCACTGTAGAAAATGAAGTGAAACAAAAAATATTGAAAATCCTAACTCCATAATATCATTTCCATATAGGATAAAGTAATAAGTTGAGTTATAATAAGACTGGGGTCTGGAGAGATGGCTCAGTGGTTAAGAGCACTGACTGCTCTTCCAAAGGAACGGGGTTCAATTCCCAAAACCCACATGGCAGCTCACAATTGTCTGTAATTCCAGTTCCAGGGTATTTGATGTCTTCTTCCGCTCTGCAGATCCTGCACACACATAGGGCACATAATTAATACAAGCACATATAGACACACATACAAATAAATGATAAATATATTAAAAATAAATAGACTGGGGGAATGAGAGGATGGGAGGGCGAGGGAACTAGGATTGGTATGTAAAATAATTATAATTGGTATATAAAATTATTTTTAATTTAAATAAAAATTAACAATAAAAAAGAAAAAATAACAAGACTAAGCTATAGCCTGCCCCAATATAAGCTTGGAACATTTAAGTACTCAGAAAATTGAATACATATTATATGTGTGGCATTTTGCATCAATGAAAAGATAAATTTTGTTAATTATAAAAATGTCTGTGTATGTTTCTGAGTGCAGGTGCACATGCACAGACATAGAGGCCAAAGGGCAACTTCTGGCTCTTGGACTTGTTTGTTTTTTGAGTCAGAATCTCTTTTGTTGTTTGTCGTTGCACTGCATACTCCAAGCCAGTTGGCCTGCAAATTTTCTGAGGATTCTCCTGTCTCCACCTCCCACCTTCATGCACCTGTGTGTCTTTGTATGTGGGTTTCAAGGACTAGCCATCAGCAATGTATTGTGCTTTTACCTACTGAACCATGTCCCTTGTCCTTTTGTTTTCTCTCACCCTTAATATTTTTGTTACTTTTGTTTATTGTGTGTGTACAAGAGCACAGCATGTCACACGTGGGGAGGTAAGAGGACAACTTGCAGGAGCTAGCTTCCTCTTTCTATCATGTGGGTTCCAGGATCAAGCTCAGACCCTCAGGCTTAGCAGCAGGTGCCTTCCCAATGATCCATTTTACCAACCCTTTACCCTCCCTTTGAGACAGGGTTTTCCTACTGTGTAGTCCAAGCTGGTCTTAAACTTTTATTTAGCCAAAACTGGCCTCAGATTTATGATCCTCCTGCCTTAACCTCCCAAGTGCTGGGATTATAGCCACCAAGCCTTGAATTAAAGGGCCAACCCCTCAGCACACACTGAGGATAGAACCTAGGGACTCTCACATGCTAGGTAAGAAAAAAAAATCTGGTATATGTATCACAGTTTATTTTTTTTAACTTTTATTATTTTCTTTTTTTTGGAAGTCTACTTTTTAAATTTTTTTTTATTAGTTCAAATTAGGAACAAGCTTGTTTCACATATCACTCCCTTCTCCCTCTCCCTCTCCTCACTCCCACCCCTCCTCCCCCACCCCGACCTAACCCCCACCCCATCCAACCTTCACTCCCCAGGCAGGGTAGGGCCCTCAATGGGGGCTCCCCAAAGTCCACCACATCATCCTAGGCGGGGCCTAGGCCCTTCCCCATGTGTTCAGGCCAAGGGTGCATCCCTTCACTTGGGATGGGCTCTCAAAGTCCCTTCTTGCACCAGGGAAAAATACTAATGCACTACGAGGGGCCCCTAGAGTGCAGAGGCTTCCTCATTGACATCCATGTTCAGGGGTCTGGATCAGTCCTGTACTGGCCTCCCCGACAGCAATCTGGGGTCGATGTGCTCCCCCTTGTTCAGGCCAGCTGTTTCTGTGGGTTTCACCACCCTGGTACCGACCCCTTCGATCTTCGTTCCTCCCTCTCTGCAACTAAGTTCTAGAGTTCAGTGTATATCTGTGGATGTCTGTCTCTGCTTCCATCAGCCACTGGATGAGGGCTCTAGGATGGCATAAAAAGTAGTTATCAATCTCATTTTAGGGGAAGGGCGTTTAGGCTACCCTCTCCACCATTGCCTGGATTGTCAGTTCGTGTAACTTCTATTATTTTCAAAATAAATTTTTGTTTTGTTTTTCGAGACAGCATCTATGTATGTCTGGCTATCTTGGAACTATGTAGACCAGGCTGGCCTTGAACTCCCAGAGATCTGCTTGCCTCTGCCTCCTGAGTGCTGGGATCAAAGGTGTGCACCACCATGCCTAGCCTTTAACTCTTTACAAAAGATTATATTTTTATTCATGTATATGTATGTGTGTATATTCTAAGAGTATGCACATGTAAGTGCAGGTACCCAAAGAGGAACGCTGAGGGCATTGGATCTCCTGTGGCAGGAGTTACAGGCAATTGTAGGCCACCTGATGTGAGTGCTGGGTGCTTTGCAAGAGAAGCAAGCTTTCAAGTAACCTCATGTCATCTCTCCAGTCTCCTATTTTCAAAACTCTTTAAAATGGGGTTTAAGCTTCACAATGTTCATTGAAGAAAGTAGGATAAGGCAGTATCTTTTGACATTAGTCTCTTTCTCTATGTACAACCTAAAGTGTGTTAACTCATTTTAGATTACTGAAGACAGATAGGCCATGACAGGGTCTTTCCTCAGGAGCTCACTGGCTGTGTTGAAGCACCAGGCTGACTTCAAAACCACAGTGATAGGACTGCCTCTTCCTCCTGAGTGTTGGGATTAAAGGTGTGCACTGCTATACCCAGCCCATCATTTTAATAGTTGCAAAATTATCTATTTTGTTGGTGTAATAAAACTTCAAGGATGTCGGATAGTGGTGGCACACACCTTCAATCTCAGCACTCTTGAGGCAGGCAGAGCTCTGTGAGTTCAAGGATAGCCTGGTCTACTGAGCAAGTTCCAGGACAGGCTCTAAAGCTACAGAGAAGCCCTGTCTTGAAAAGCCAACCACCCCCCAAAAAAAACAAACCTTCAAGGAAAAACTCAGTTTGAGATAAATTCTAAACTTTTGGTTTCGACAGGGTTCATTACCATGTAAATTTTTTTTTTTTTTTTTTTTTTTGAGACAGGGTTTCTCTGTGTAGCTTTGTAGACCAGGCTGGCCTCGAACTCACAGAGATCTGCTTGCCTCTGTCTCCCGGGTACTGGGATTAAAGGTGTGTGCCTGGCTTCCCTGATAATTTTTTATGGACAACTGGAGATACAGTTGAGTGGTAGAGTATGCTTAGCATGTTTGGGGTCCTCCTAGGTATGGCGCTGTCTTTTGTCTCCTCACTAATGGCACTTACATTAAGACCATGTTCTGTTAGAATGTCTAGAATTATTTTTTTTTAATTTTTACATTTTGTATACATTTGTGTGTGTGTATGTATATGTGGTGGTGGGAGCTTGTTAGTGCCACTGCAATGCGTAGAGGTCAGAAGACAGCTTATTGGAGTCAGTTCTCTTCTTCCATCATATAGGAGTTGGTGACCAAATTCAGGAAGCATCTTCACCAGCTGAGCCATCACGACAGCTCATGACAGTTAATCTTTACCATCAACTGGATTAGATTGAGAGATATCTAGGAGATCAGTAAAACACACCTCTGGTGTGTCTAAAGGACATTTCCAGAGACAAATTGTGATGACTTTGCCTTAATCATGGTTTAATATATAGCTTTTTAAACTGTGAGTAGTGGACTTATATATGGTAGAGTAACAGAATGTGTGGACCACAAATTCTTTGGTAACAGTAAAAGGTTTCTGAATGTGTAATGACCAAAATTAATTCAAACTAAAAGGCCTAATGAACCCAAATTGTTTCTGGTGATACTCTCTCATATTATATCCTGAGGTTTTGCTTGTGCCTTCATTCTTACAACTTGAACACTTTGCACTTGTGTGCCATAAAGCCACACAAAACAGCAATGAACCCTGCCTGAAAAGACTTCGGCTAGACTTGAGACTACTGTATGGTATGCATTACCTTGTTTTTATTGCACATACAAAGTTTTCTGCCCTTATAGAAAAATAATGGTTTAATTATGGAAGATGAATTTTTAATATTTTTCTACTCCTTAGTATGTATCATATTTGTGTATCTTTGGATTTTACTTTTAGAATGCTTGACTTTTTAAATTGCTATATGTGTTGTCTCAACCTCATTAAGTTGAACATGTTTTAAGTCTCTCTGAATCTTATGCTTGTCTAGAGCAGTATTTTCAGCCCAAAATTTCCCAGAGGGGTATATGGAGTCATTTCTGGGTCAGAGCATGGTCTTCTGGGGAACATGCTTTCCAGTTGGCACCTCACCACACAAGTATTGGTCTTGGAGAAACATAACCATCTATTTAACTAGGATTGGTAAAGCAGTGGGAGACTTGGGTTCTAAATTGGGTTTTCCGTTTTCATCCCACACTGCTTATATTCTCCAAGGCTTTCTTTGAATACCACCTAATTCTTCACTTTCTTTTACAACCATAGCCTTTCCTACTTCTGTACCTCTCCCCAGCTATGTACTTTGTTGACCTCTCATGAATTCCTACAGTCTGATTTACATAAAATCTGAGCAACTGGCTCTGGTGTTCATTAAATATGTTTTTGGTGACCTAGATGTAGTTTGGTGGTAGATCAAGTAAGTGTTCAATGTGCACTGAGGCAGTGGGTTCAGTCCCTGGTGTTAGTGTGTACACAAACACAGAGGCACCAGAAAAAGTATAACCTTTTTGGAAGCTACAATACATAGAACAGTTTAAAAAGTAGGACAGTAATCCCACATATCATTTATCCAGCTTCCCCTAATGCAACTATCTTAACATAGCAACAGGGTTTCTGTGTAACCCTGGATGGCTGTCCTGGAACTTGCTCTACAATCTAGGCTGGCTACCCAGTTCAATGTCTTTATAAAGTGGGAGTTTTAGGCTTTATCCAGATGGGCCCAATATACTCACAAGGGTCTTTAAAAGTCAGTAAGGGTGCAGGGCAGGGGTGGCTCACACCTTTAATTCTAGCACTCAGGAGGCAAAGCAGGCAGATGTCTGTGAGTTCAAGGCCAGCCTGGTCTACAGATGAAGTTCCAGGACAGCCAGGGCTACACGGAGAAACCCTATCTCAAAAAAAAAAAAAAAGAAAAAGAAAAAAAAACAAACAAAAGCAAAAACAAAAAAAGTAGGTAAGGTGTTGCTGGGTCCTAATGGCTCCTTCAGAGGAGGAGGTGAGAAGATGAAGTGTCAATAGCACAGACACTGGGAGTCAGATAAAAGCAAACAGCAGACTCATTTATTCATCAATGGAGAGAGCCTTATATACCCTCCTCTCAGCACCAGGCTGCAACCAGATCCATTGACATTGCTTGGTGGCCCTCATTGGCAAGGCACTATCAGGACCTAAGGCTGACTCAAGGTTAGCTCATCTCTCAGTCTAGAGGTAAGAGAGACAGGAAGGCTAGCTTTAAAGATGAAAGGTCAGAAACCAAGTCCCTCTGGAAGCCATGGGAGGCAGGAAATGGTTCCCCTTTGCTTCATCTGGAAGGCACTGGTCCTGTAGCACATGGTCTTCAGCTCACTGAACTTGGGTTGGGCTTCAGTTCTGGTCTTCAGAGGAGTAAGAGAATAAACTCAAGTGTTTGCTTGAGACAGGGTCTTGTTATGGAACCCAGATTGCCACTTCCCTCTCAATCTTGCTTCCTCCGTCTCCTAGGTATAGGGATTATAGGTGTGTGATATGCCTGACCTAAGCTGTACTTTTAACGCACTAAATTTGAGGTGGGTATTTTTGCTTGTTTGTTCTTTGAGACAGGGTTTCTCTGTGTAGCCTTGGCTGTCCTGGAACTCTCTCTGTAGAACAGGCTGGCCTTGAATTCACTGAGATCTGCCTGCTTCTGCCTCCTGAGTTCTGGGATCAAAGATGTGTGCAGCCACCACCTGGCTTGGTAATTTTTTTTTTTTTTAAACAGTAGTAATAGAAAGTATTTTAAGGGAGATATCCTGAGAACTTGTTTTACCTCAAACTTTCATTCATTACATTTCTTTTTTAAATATTTATTTATTTTATGTATATGAGTGACCTATCTTCATGCATACTGGAGAATCAGATCCCATTATAGATGGTTGTAAGCCACTGTATGGGTGCTGGGAATTGAACTTGAGATCTCTGGGAGAGGAGCCAGGGCTCTTAACCACTGAGCCATCTCTCCAGCCCTCATTCATTAATTTTCAAATTACCACAAGTAACAGGTTTTTTTTGTTTGTATTTCCCATTATATTTATTATTCAAAACTCTACTGTAGGGGGAACTATCCTGTCTCCCCTTTACTTATGAAGTATTTGAACCTACACAGCCTCCTGTTCTGTGGGCAACACAATTATTATGAGTTGGTGCTCACATGGATTAAGCTCTGACAGGTGGAGAGTTTTTGAGCTACTCTATTCCCTGAGAAGGCCTATCTGTTTTGGGAGTATTTCCTTAATTGCTGGGAACTCATTTAACATTGGCTTAGATCACTGAGGGTACGGCAACAAAAATAACCATACAGTAGGTGGCTTATAAATGATCTAAATTTATCACTCCCAGTTCTGGAGGATGGCAGTGCAAGATTAAGGCATGGCTTAATACACGAAGAGGACTGCTTCCTGCCTCAGACATGGCACCTATCACCTCCTCAAACCCCTAGTTCCTACTGTTTTCTTAGGGAGTTAGGAATTGATATATAAATGGGGGTGGGATGGGTGGGCCATAGACATGTCTCAATACCAGCTGATAACACCCTTCCTTTCCTCCACAGACAGGATGGGCTATGCTCAGATGAGGGTTGCCCAAAGCAGAACTAATCTCAGGCGTTGGTGATTAGAATCTGAGTCTGAGCAGGTGGGAGAAGCTGATTTTTACATCTGCTAAATCCTGCAGGAAGAGATTAGGTGTGTGTACCTTTAATTAGGGTGGTGGTATTCCTTTACTCCATTTTCAGCTCCCCTGAACAAATGCTCAGACTGGGCACCAGTTCATTCCACTTTACCTACTGGTAGCAGCAAAAACCTACTTACAGACATTAAGGCTCATGCAGGCCTGATCTCCATCCTCACTTCATTAGCATTTATTTCTGCAGTGACAAACTCGCGTATTTATCACATTAGTAACCAAAATCACTTCAGAAACGAAAGCACAATCCTCTTAAGACTCAAGGGCAGGCAGAGCAGGGGCCCTGAAACCTTTGATTGAACTCTAGCGACCACACTCTGAGAGCTTAGGAGAGGTGACCCAATGCTTAGAATTGGCTCTCTCAGTCTGTAGGAAGCAAGGGATGGCTGGGAAAGAAAGGGTTTTATTGCCAAGACCACAATGTCTAACACGCTGGCCAGGCTCTACCAGGGCCAAGATAAACACGGCTCAGGTCACTAGGGCCTAATGCTGTGTTACCTTTGAACCACACAAGAACTGCTTGTCATTGGCTCTCAACTGCATGAACTTAATGTTGGCTGAGGGATGCTTATGTTCTGGAAAACCCAGATATCTTAAATACTAGACCTTTCCCAAGTTAGAAAAAAAAAATAAAAGCAGCAATTCTTTAGGTATCCAAGACACTCTATGAGACTTTTATGGCTCCAAGATACCCGAGACACTTGGCTTTTATTAACTTTCATTTAAAACTTTAGAATAATGGGCCAGGCATGATGGCACATGCCTTTAATTTCAGAACTCGGAACGCAGGCAGATCTCTGTAAGTTCCAGGTCAGCCTAGTTAGTCTACTAGCGAGTTCCTGCCTGTTTGGACTACCGGATGCAATGGCCGGTTGGTCAACCGCAAGAAAACACCGATCCACAATGAGCAGGTTGAGAAAGCAAATTCGCAAAGCCTTCAATTTCAAAAAAGAAAACACGATTCGGCCCGAAATGGGCAAGAACTGCCGCACTCGATGGTCGAGGCTGGGTGGCAGAGCACACACCTGGGAGGCACGGTTCCCTGGTGGAGCCCACACCCGGACTACAAACCAGACGACGCCAACCTGAGCTTGAGTCACCGACACCTCTAACCACCCGGCACACAGGCAAGGCCACACACGCAGGCGCGCCAGGGCCCTTCGGGTGCTATCTCACCACGCCATCCGCTTCCGCGCCAGGCGCCAAATAAGTCTCCAAACCCGCCCGACCCGTGCGT